AGATAAAAATTTTATACGAATTTTCATATATATTTTGTGTTTGGAATACCGACAACAGTATCACAACAACTACTAATCAGAATTACTTAGAGACAATTGTAATCAATTTGGTTTAATAACTATAATCTAAATCGATTGCGAAAGGGTCGTATTTCGAAGAAAAAGTTTCCTTCGAAATTTGTTGTATGGTATAAACGCTTCAATTATCTCAGCCCTGACAAAATTAGAAATCTATACAAAATTATTATATTCCAAAGACCTATCAAGGTTTCTTCAATTCTTGATATCTATAAAGTGTGTGCTCTTACAAAGACGACTAATAGAATCCCAAGTCAATTAAATGCACAAAAATCCAAAAGATTGGAATTGATTCATTTTGATATTGCTGGTCCTTTCTCAAAGTTTATTTGAGGATATAGATACTTTCTCCTCATTATCGATAGCGTTATAAGGGTAAATTGGATTATTCTATTGAAATAGAAAAGCGATGTAATATCCTTGTTAAAAGCCTAAAAGCAAGAAATTAAATTTGCTATAGGTATAGCTGTAATTACTGCCAGAATCGATAATGTATCAGAACTTCTTCAAGCTATACAGGAATGGAAGATTGGTGTGTGATTAGAGGTTATAATGGTTGTATTGTCTTACTAAAATAGTTTAGCCGAATATAATATACACATTATAGAAATTGATATAAAAACAATATTGAAAGAAGCTTATTTATTATTAAAGTTTTGGAATAAAGCTGTAAAGTATAATATATATATTCGAAATTGCATTAACATTGGCCTAGATATAAATAAAATCAATCGAAGCTTATTCGAAGTATTTATAGATATATTACTAGATATTAATATATATAAGGTTTAGGGGAGTTGATATTATGCTTATATCAATCCCAAAATTATCCCAAAAGAACAAAGGCATAATAAACTTCGCAATACAACAAGGATTGGAATATTTCTGGAATATTCAAAAGATACTATCAAGCATATAAAGGTTTATTCATCAGAGCTGGATTATACTTACTGCTCTTATTGTATTATAATTAATGAAAGCTATAAAGGAGAGGATCTGGATCTCAAACTTAGAAACTGTACAGTCGGATCACAAGGTACCAAGAATATAGAACCTGATCGCAGGTCTTACGGCAGACCTAAGAATGCTCCTGAATCATTATTTATTCTAGTTGATTTATTAATATCACCAAATGCAATAATCACAGACTCGATAGAGGTGCACTTGCCAATACCAAAACGAATAAAGATCGAAATACTATGCTTTGATGAAGATGAATATGGAAATATTCAATAAGTAACTGATGATTTAACAAGATTGGAGATGGAAAACAATAAAGAAAGTAATATTATTTCATCTGATGTAACTTCATTATTTGATTATACATTACCAAATTCAAGGACATCATCTAAGAATGTAACTTTACTACTTGATTATATACTACCGGTATTTAATACTATACTACCTAATGAAACTTTACCATCTACCACACCTACATTTGCATTCACTTCTACACCACCAAGTTTGAGGTACAATCTTAGGAAGAGAAAGAGAAATGATAACAACAATATGGAAGGTCAAAAAAATTCCAAAATCATTCGGGTTTTGCTTACTTCTTTAAATAAGCCAGCATCAGAATCAATTGAACATGCTATGATTGCTATTCCAAACATTCATCAATTCGAAAAGGAGATGAATAATGAAATTGCTTTAAAGATCTTGACTCTTTTAGCAGATATACCTGCAGAAGCTGATATCGCTTTGCCAGCGATAGAAATACTTGGAATTAAGATATCAAATATATATAAAGAAACAATGGCAAATAAAAAGCATGCGAAAGACTAGCAAGCTGTAATTTAAGAAGAAATAGACTTATTGGTTAAGAATAGTACTTGGGAAAAGTTTATTTTATTATAGGGAAGTAATCTAGTTTCAACGAAATGGGTATTTATTGTTAAGACAAAAGATAATAAAATAGAATGATTCAAGGCTAGATTGATAATTAGAGGATTTAGCTAAGTTTTAGGTAAAGATTATAACGAAATCTTTGCTTCTACAATTCGACTCGATACTCTTTATCTTTTCCTTATAATTATTATAAGAAAGAACCTCAAGTGTTCCCATTTCGATATCAAAAATATATTTATCGAATTATATTTGAAAAAAGAAATCTATTTAGTATTCCCTCAAGATATCTATATTTGTTATGACTATATTTTATATGTATTTTGGAATCTTTATAAACTAAAGTAAGTTGGTAGAGATTAGAGTTTTCTTTTAAAAGGAGAGTTAATTAAGATAGGTTTTGTATAAAGCCTTACAGATTCGTATTTATATACCAATCATTTGCAACAGTTAATTCTTTTAATATATGTAGATAATATTGTTATTATTACTATATAAAAACAAAATATTCAATAATTTTATTACAATCTTTCTACTCGATTCAACACCAAAAACCTGGGGGAGATTAGTAAGATCTTAAAAATACATATCATTTATACCAGATTAGAGAGAATATTAATTATGGATTAAGAAAAGTACCTGGATGCAATACTTATCTGATTCGGAATCTCCTATAATTAATATACTCCCAAAAAGATATCAATCTTGGATTATAATCAATTACAATCGATACTTCCGGATAATAAGCTTACTGATATAAATAAATACCAATAAGCAATTGGCAATATAATTTACCTTATGGTTTATACAAGACTGGACATTGCATTTGATCTTGGGAGATTAGTACAGACTATATCTAATCCTATCAAGCACTACAATATTGTATTCAAAAACCTTATAAGATATTTGAGGTCAATTATCAAATAGAAGCTATGTTTTGGGTCTAGGAGAGTTTAATCAGATATTTGCAAAGAATATAATCTCCCATAATGTATTATCAAAGTATATACCAATGTTACAACGGATTAGTAACAGGCTGTAGAAACACTGACTTATAGGCTATAATGGTATTATAGGCCTCAGTGATTCAGCTACAGTATACCGGGGGACACTAGGCACCCAAGGAAAGCCTCAGGCATGTATATAGTATTAGTTATAGGATAATAGGAATCACGGGACAAGTGTCATGTGATCAAAAGCCGATCGACTTATCGATCGACTTGCCGGTCGACTTGTCGGTCGACTTCAGAACGAAGGTCTATATAAGGAATGGGTTTCATTATAATGTAGAGCTTCGTGCTCAAGAACAATCATTAGTTTCATCACTATAGTTACGAGAATTGCAACCAGTTACAACCTTATTGAATTCCTACTTGAAGTTTAGTCTAAACCACCTCGAGAGATCTCTAGCCACTTCCACGTGACCCTAGAGGCAGCTCCCGTAACAACCAACACAAACTGAACAAGCGATAAAACCAATCGAAAAAGTATTTCTAATAGAATAATAATATTTTATAGTGGACCAATTTTATGAGTAAGCAAGAAGCAGATATTTGTAGCTATATCCAGTACAAAAGCCGAATACATTTCCATAGCGATATTCACCAAATAAGAATAATGGGTAGCTCAACTTTTGAGAAACTTAGAACGATTATAATACATCAAAAACAATAGCGGAGTTCAAATGCTTGGAGATAATTAAGGAGTGCTAGTATTAATCAAAAACCTATATCTATACAAGCAATCAAAGTATATTGATATATATCATTACTTTATTCGGAATCTCACAGAAAAACACCTAGTCAATACCAGCTATGTTAATATAAGTGATATGGCTGTAGATGGATTAATAAAATTATATACAAGAATGGTATTCGAGAGATTCAAGAATATACTGGGGCTTCAAAGCTAATTATTGAAGCTAAGAGAGTAAGCTCTTTGGGGGAGTATTGGAAGTTGTGGTATGTGCACTTAAGCTACTGTTTATATATCACTTCCACTTAGTAGTTAGTTTTTACCTTAGTACAATCAATCTATATAGTCAATAATACATGCATTCCACTGGCCTGCTCCTTTATTGTGAACATATATACTTAATATTTAACTTACTTTCAAGGAGATTATATCTTTATATAATATTATAACAATTTAATCGAAATTATCATACTTTAGAATATTCAAGTAAAAGATTAACTTTCTTAGCAAAGTCATTTATAATATAAATATTAAAGTTATATTCCTTACTAATAGTATATTAGTAGAAAAAGAGATTTCTAACAAGTCTATTAATATTATAATAGATAACTTGAACAACGATGATGTCGAGGCTACATTTCCTACTTAAGAAGGAATTTAAGTATAACTACTTTGTAATTTGAACTTACGGCTCCACCCCCTGCACTATACATTGCCCTTGCACGTTTAGAACCTAACGGTTACTAGGTGCTCCAGCTGCACAGGTCGTCTTCAACATTCCAATCTTACGGAGCAGAATACCGACGGTGGCAGCTGCCTATTATCAACACGTTTGCTCTCACGATCCACAAAGTGCAGGGTCTTTCCTTGCCGTCCATTACCCTCGTACTGAACAAGAGTATCTTTTCTGAAGGGCAAGCATTTGTAGGATTGAGTCGAGCAACAACGTTAGAAGGAGTCTTTTTGACGCAGCTGGACTTCGATGCGATCAAGGCCGACCCTGAGGCTATTGCAGAATATAATAGATTGAGAACGGTAGCCTCGCAATTACAAACATAGCTGTATCTCATGGCTTCCCAATGTAGCTTCTCGAGCCGTGATTGAATACATTCACTTGCTGCATTCACCTCTGAAAACAGGGCCTAATTGAGTGATTCACGCATCTTCTGAATGATTCACAACACTTGAGGGGTCAAATTCTACAGGTGCTGAGTGCTATAGCTTCCATTTTTTACGGCTGGTGGATTATTTTTTTCTGGTGGGTCACGAGATCTCGCCTTATGCGGCTAACCTCCAGGCCCAAATTTGCACTGCAACTCCCAGGTCATTGTCGCCGGCTCGTTATTCTATGAAATCAGCTGAAATAACTCGGTACCACCACCTTATTCATTCGCAATGCTTCTAAGTCGATGTTCCAAATTGTTCCTAATAATATTGACATGGTCCTCCCTTATAACGCCCCTTTCAGAGCCGAGACAAAGAGTCATATCTCCTCCTTTTACTGTCGCCATAGCAAGCAAAAGAGGTCCATCATACATTGACGGCATGTTCGCGAAGAACAGCTTGCTAAGGGTTGCCTTGGCAGTGAGATCGCGATCACCACTAGTGCCCTCAACAACCCCCAAATTCGTAAGCAAAAAAGCACTCTGCCTCTTTCCACCAAGTAAGCCAGTGAAATACTTCTGGAAATCGCGGACCAACTTCAGTGCCCCAATATCCTGATCTGCGGGAGAATTTGTAGCCGTTGCTATGTATTGTCTGGTTTCACGCGCGGAATCCCATAGTTGTTCGTCACTTCCTTCTAACCCAGGCGATGAGGGAGAGCAACAAGAAATATACCCCCTTGGCGTTGGGTTCTCGCAAGAAAATATGGGTTTTGCGGCCGAGACATATACGCCAATAGTATCATCAGTGACACCGCTATGCGCTACAGCAAACCTTCTCATTGAAATAGCGATTGGAACCTCAAACCTGCTAGACTTCTCAGTTGCAAAGATTTGCGCCGATTCTCTCGCCAGTAGCACAGTCGTAAGTGCGGTAATGGTCGTTTTCTCTTTTCGACATCTCGTGACTAGCTTCTCTGTTACTTCAGAATCCAGAGAGAATGATTTTATGCGGGCCAGTCGCCGAGGCGGGATGTTCTGCGGGATGAGCGGACCTGTCCATTTTAGACGGTCTGTAGGATACAGAACGGCCAAGAAGAGCCGTCGAAGAAGGAAGGAGATGGATGTAGTTAGGTTGATGGCTTCTTCCATATTTGGCGGTAGGAGCTGCCTAGGCACCTCCAATAGTGTTTCTATAGTTGTAGGATTCACGCATTTCGAGCCAAAGTCTGATAGAGTGGCACTCGCGAGGAGAGAGTTGAGATGTGATTGGAAAGTTTTATGAAAACTGGCGCCTGATAGTCCGTCGCAGATTGCGTGGTGGAAGAAGAAGCCAACTGCCAAATTGATTATGTCTTGGTCTCCCGGTGCAGTAGCTCTGTTGGTTTCATCAGTGAACCCTGGAGAAGCCATGAAGACCCTCCAGAGAGGACCTTTGCCTTCCGCTTCATTCTCAAACCCTCTCTGAAGACCTTCTTCAATGAATGTTTCAATCCCATTCTCTGGATTCACATGGACGAATTGAACGACCTTGCTGAGATTGATTCTTGAGAGATGGATCCATCGAGGGTTTGCTGAAGATTCCCCCTCTATGCTGACAGAGAGGAAAGGATGAGCAAGGATAGTTGAGGCGACGGATTTGTAGATGAGCGCTTTGAAATATGGGAGATTAAGAAGTGATTGTTTAGATAGAGAGGCAGGGAGCTGGTAGATGGCAGTGACAGTGCTGGAGTTGAAAAATTTGAGATTATTGCGAGCAATATAGAAGCGTTCCAAAGTACCTGAGGTTAAAGTAAGCTACAATAAAATACTGCCTTACAGCCGCTTAAAATCAAAAGTGGTTGTCTCTTACCAAGTTCACGAAAGGGGATATCCATCTCAAGTCCTGCGCCAGTGTCCCATGAAGTCATAAATCTCAAAGCGTCTATCTAGACACAAACAGCAAAAATGTCAAGAATCCAGGAATGATCACGTTGACGCAGAAATCCTTTCTTACTTTGTTTTCCCGCTGCGAGTACACCCAACATTCTTATTTTCCTCGTTTCATGACATCAATGAGTGATCGACTCTCCATTCACCGCCGGTTTCCATATTTCATGGTAGCTACGGCGAGTTCCAATTAAGCGAGGGCTCGCCCAGCTAGATAGGCATTAAAATAAACTACACCAAAAGCCCGAAACCTCGTTCGTGCCTGACTAATACTCACTACCTTTGCCCATCGGGTTAGCATCAAGTCTCCGCTAGAAGTTTATTGGATACGATTCTGTAAACTCCTGCAGTTCCAACCATTTCGTCAAGTGGGGTCCCTTGGCACTTCACAGCCCGGTGACCGAGTCATCGACGACAATGATAGGAAGGATCAAACCCAAAGTCACCGAACACTGACTGCAACGACTTTATTGACAATAATTGTTTGGTAGAAGAAATTGTATTCGTTCGTCAAAAGTGGCGTTGTGATGTTTTAGTCGCTGGCAGTATTGTTTCTGATGCCCATGAGGAAGTTATGTTGCGACAGTATTTTACGGTGAAGGGGAAAATAGCAGCAGTATTCGGTATATGACTACTGTGCCGTGGATGCACATCCAGCAGTGATTTTCAGCTTCAACAATGATCTGTTTCACTACTGATGCTGTTACTCGGCGCCGAGGGTAACGCTCCGCAGTCTTCAGCCGGCCGGAAGCCGAACAACCTGGAACGGACTGCCGGAAATGATTTGATTTAGCGATGGCCGCCAAGTCTCCGGCGTAAACAAAGCTTACCAACATACAGGCTGATAGATAGATCCTGAGAGGACAATGAAGGTGATATCCGCAATCAATTGCCCTATCAGCGAATTTGATCACTTTTATAACGAAAATCTACTCCTCTGCACCCAAACCACTTCTCTACCCAAATAGACAGTAAAACAGACGTCAGTACGATGCAAGCAGACGAACGGCGTTTTGCGATCATTCTCGGCGCTGGTGCGGCTGGCATAATACAAGGATACGCATTTCTGCGCGAAGATGTCCTTCCACTTGAAGAATTTCACATTTTGGACAGGAATGAGTCGTTTGGTGGAGTGTGGTGGAGCAATACATATCCGGGGGCTGCATGCGACATTCCCAGTAATGAGTATTGCATCAGTTCGTTTGATTTTCTATTTTCGGTCCAGCCAACATTTCCATATATCACATTTAGTTCAAGTCTAGCCTTAGGCATGAATCCCTAGATGGCTAACAAACGATACTCTAAAAAGACTCAGGACATACGCTCCACAAGCAGAGATCCAACAATATTTCGAAGGGTTTGCGCTGAAATACCAGCTCGACAAGTCAACGACTTTCAACACAGAGATTGTCAGTGCCACATGGGACGACTCACGCCTATTGTGGTTTGTTCAAACTCAAGACTCTAAGAGCAGTTCTCAGAAAATATGGTGCTATAATGTGGTAGGTGAAATTTCTCTTCTTGCGGGACCTGCCTCCAGTCTACTATCGTTCCCAAATCGCTGTAATGCAGATCGGATGGCTTCATTGTCCAGGCTACTTGAGCTTTTTGAAATTATTATATATGCAGAGATTAACGTGTGTCAGCTTGTCAGTGCTGCGGGAGCATTTGGCATGCCTAAGAAGGCCGATATCGCAGGACTCAAAACATTCAAAGGCGAACAATGGCATCTTGGAAGTTGGCCAAAAGACGATGATTTAAAAAACAAATCTGTAGCAGTCATTGGAACCGGGCAATCCGCCGGACAAGCCATTCCGAGTATTTATCCTGAGGTGAAGCAGTTGACGGTGTACCAGCGAAGTCCAGGACATTGTCTGCCTCGTAACGATGTTTCCATAAGCGGGTCCAGGAAGTGAGTGTTCTCTCACATTCCATTGGTACAACGTAGCTACCGATGGTTTGGTATGGCACAGGTAAAGTCATCCCATACAATCTACTGGTGTCTGTTGAACTCTCTAATCACTCCTCTCAGTTTGGTTTCGTGGCCAAGCGCATATTCCACATCGGATCGTGGTGGCAGAAGTTTGTCGTCGGCATGGCCAAAAATCATCTGTACAATCAGATTAGCGATGACAATTTGCGACGCAAGCTGGAATCGAAGAGTCACTTCGGATGCAAACGTCCATTGAAGCTTGACACCTGGTACCCTATCTTCACCAATAACAATGTTGATCTTGTGACGGATCCTGTGACGGGACTGACGGAAGATGGCATTCTTTCTAGAGAAGCAGAAGGAGGGCGTGAAATAGAGCGGAAAATGGATGTGTTGATTTGGGACACTGGTAAGTTGTCGGTCTTGTGCTTTGAACGACAGGTATTTATGGGACTAACTAATTCGCAACAAGGATACAACTCAAACAAATTCGGCACCCCTGTCCCGACTAGAGGTAGAACAGGGCCACCCCACCCGCGGGGCCCAGTGAAGCAGCGCAGCCTATTCCATCCAAAAGTAATCTACCTCCTTCTGAATTCCACTTCCGCTCTCGGATTCGGCATACAGACCATTGCATTCATGATATTCTCGGGCCGTTCCCCCCCCTTCAATCGAAACTCCCACTTCGTCAACAACTCGATCAACACGATCTTAATCTCATTTGCGGCTAAAAAACGTCCTGGACAAGCGTGATTTCCATGCCCAAAGTTCATAGACTCCGGCGAAGTGGTGACAAATTGGTGCCTGTCCTCATTCCCAGGAATCTGACGAAGCTTGTAGTATCGAAGACCATCGAATGGTAAGTGCGGTGTGTGAATTGCCCAGGCGGCGAATCCGAATCGGCTTCCAGCCGGTAGGGTTCCCGTGGAAAGATTGAGAGGAGAGGTTACGAGTCGGACATTGGTTACTTGAAAATTTAGAACATTTAGCTACTAGGACGAGGATTAACATACCTAGCGATGAGGGAGTCAATCTCTGACTCTCTTTCAAGAAGCTATCGAGTTTCCAGAGCTTGGCCAAGTTCGTTTTCGTGACACCATCAATCTGCTGAATCTCCTCCCGCAATATCTCAATGTATTCTGGATATGCGCACAGATCATAGATCGCTGCTGTAATTGCCATGGATGTCGTATGAACAGCGGCGAACGAGAGGCTCATCTGGTAATTTGCAATCTTTTCAGGATCTTTCTTTTTAATGCGATTTTGAATCCATGTGATCATATTCTCTTGCCCAGCGGCGAGTAGCGGCTTCACCAGTTCCACTCCCCGGTTCCTGACGTATTTCAGAATTTGCACTTCCTTGAGAAAAGGAGCCACAATAGTTCGAATGAATTCTGGATATGCATTAATAGCATCTCGGGCTCCCATGCACAACAATGCATACTCAATCGAAGACTTCAGCCATTCCTCATTCCGACTCAGAGGTAGCCCAACAAAAACACGACCGCTTAACAACCCAACCAAACGAGTCACCTTGGGATACATGGGAATCGATGTCCAGTCCTTGCATGATCCGAGTTCTTTATCCAATCCATAGCCGATCTCATCTTGCATATCATCGATTGTGCTGGCAAGGTGTTTGGTGAGATCTAGCTTGAGTGCTTGTATGAGCTCTGGTCCTGCCTCTTTTCCTATGCCTGTGTGCTTGGCTGTGAAAGACCGCTGAATATCCTGTATGAACGAAGTTTTGTTCTCTGGTAAGTTTCGGACTTCGTCGATCACTGAAATAGGGAGTATAACCAGGGGTGGTACGATAGGGACTAAGAACGGGCGGTCCGGGTACTGCTTTAACATCAGTACTAGCTAGTGATGAACATACTTCCTACTTACCTTCCGTGTTCCTTCGACCAATGCTTGTCTCTGATCTGCGCGGAATGATCCAACGATTGGCAAGTCCAGTTTCTTTGGACGGGTAAGTACAAAGCCAGTGAATAGGATGATAACGAGAAGTATCGCGCCATTGACCAATGGCGAGCCAGAGGTTAACATTTTTAGGTCGCCAGAGGCCATTTTTGACCCAGACGCTAATGTCAGTGTGTTTTGGAAACAGAATTTCAAGGACGTGTGAATATTCAACAGTCACGCGCAAATTCATATAAGTGGTGGAGCTATCTACTAATGAATTAATGACGGCGACCGAAGAATAAACTATAAAAGACAGGTACAACATTTTATTCGGGGACCATAGCTCCCTTTCGGGGTTGCCCGTTGTGAACGAACGGATACCGAACGTTGCCCGGTCGAAACTTTAAAGGGGAGCGCCCGGTGTGTATCATGCTCAGGACAATGTTAATGTGTTACAAGGGTGTTGAAGATAATATTTATCCTGGTAGAGGCTCAAGGTGTCTTATTCGGTCTTAGCATGCTTCGCTGTGCAGCAAGCTTACGTAACCTACTTTATATAAAATATATTAAAACCTAATGATATAATTATTTAAAAAATCAATATTTTAATAAACTATATAAAAATAAATAAAAGTTTCTTTAATATAATAAAGATTCTTATAACGTAACGTATGGGGAACTCGGACAGGTACCTTTACACCAAATTTTGTATGTAAAGGTACTTAGAGCGACTTTTTATATCTCTATGGATATTAAAGATAATTTAATTTTTTTTGATAATTAGGCTTAATATCTAATAAAAATATAGTGTTAAAGTTACAAAACACTTTTTAATAATATTGCTCTTGAATTAATACGATTTTAAAAATTCCCATAGTAATTTTTGTTAGATAAAAACGACAATTTGAAAGAAACTTTAATATCTTTATTAAAAAAAATTACATCTCTATAATATTTTGTCATATTAAATATTTATATTGAATATATCATACCTCAAAATATCAAAACTATATCTCTAGTATTTCTAGAGATATAAAAATTCGCTCTAAGTACCTTTACATACAAAATTTAGTGTAAAGGTACCTGTCCGAGTTCCCCATACGTTACGTTATATAAAAATAAAAGTTTTAAGAATATTCTTATATGGGGGAACATTTGACTTTTAATAACTCCACCAAGTGTCCAGGTGATAGCCTGCATGTAACCTAATCCTGAATCGGTAATCCTGGTTATAATTTAAACTAATAGCTGTGACTTGTTTAATTGCAGGGTCGAAGCTCAATCCCATCAAATTGTCGAGAACCAGCCCCTCAGCCTTGCACATAGGATGGTGGCAAATAAACATTCCACTTACTGCTTGATCGCGCAAAGGAACATACTCCTTCCGATCCGACGCCCGAGCTACCCCGCCTTCCGAGTTCATAAATCATAAAATAGTCGCCATAGAAGAAAAGTAGTACTGTAACAATAATTACAACTCAGTCTATTCAAATCATCAATGTAAAACTCAAATTCCATCTCAGTCATCTGTCGAGATGTCTTCCAATGTACACACAATCGCAAAAAGCTTTTTGAACTATACTAATTCCATTATTTAGACTCCAAGTGCGCCAAATTGTGAAGGAGGAAGAGGGAATTCAGCTTCCACCAATGGAGGCTCGCAGATGGTTCAGGACAACTGTAAGTACACTTTGTATAGCGAGGTGTTTGAGAGGCTTTTAGCTAATTCCATTTTATAAGCAGCTCCGAATAAAACTCACGAAGGACCGTGTTTGCTGTGTATGCGCGCTGCAGTTCAAGGCGATCATCTGGACCTCTGCAACTACCAGGCCAGTATTGGAGAGGCTTGTAGCAGATGTGTAGAAAGAGATCTTCCATGTTGTTTGGTTCCGGATTGGATCAAGAAGTTGTGGGATAATTATACGTTGTGGAAGTTGAGCGAGAGGACCAGTACAGGGTTGAGCATGAAGGATGAGGAATGGACATTGACCGAGAAGACAGGTGAGAGGCTGAAACATAACGATCATCATCGAGTCGGCCATGCCAGGCTCGCGAGATCCCGAAAGAACCGTACAGTGGGCTTCGATTGCGGTGTCCTATTTCCATACTATCCTCAAATTTATGTGAGCCACACTCTCTTGAGCACTGAACTTAACACACTTAGTCCAGATATTTGTCATCAATATGGCTTAAGGCTTTAACTCGCTGCTTTTGGCATATGGTGATTTGAGGCTCTACGCTGACCTTTGTCGCCTTCAACAACTCTTCCTGTTGGTTCGAGAGAGATACGGAAGACGTGGTTCCCACTATCAGTAGGCCCCTAAATGTCTATTTGTATTCAATCTAAAGAGCTAGCTAATGAGGGGAAATAGTAGGCCTTATATAGGCACTACTGAAAGAGCTAGTCTCCTTCGCATTCGCCTAAATATCTTTGATACAGTAGCTATTGTATTGAAATCATTTCTTTGAAGTGAATACCTTTGTTCACATACTCGGGACTCTCTTTTATAGCTTCAAATATAATGGCTGAAAAGAAATTCGTAAAATCATTAAAATCCTTCATCTGCTGGCTAAAGTCCCTAACCTTTTATTAGTAGAATCAATCCCTTCCTTTAATCCCATTTTATCTATTTTATTGCCTTGATATCAATCTTATTTGTATTGATCAGATTAGCAAGAGCTTGATATAGCTTTCCTTTTGTCATTGTATTGGCCGGATTAGTCAGATTATCAAGCCAGATGACTTCAACAATCTCCCTCCGCTTGTAGGATTGATGTAGTGTTATAATATTGATTATTAATCTCTTTTCACTAGTCATTCCTAACTTCATAAGTAAATTATATAATAACTTGAAATCAGTATACAAAACTAATAGAATCTCCTTGTCAAGAATGGCGTTAACTGTAGAAGTAATTGCTATACCGATATCGAATCCCTAAACTAATTTATATAGCTCAAATACCAAAACACTGTGTATAACTCTCTTGTATTTAATAAATAATCAATGAATAATATTAGTATTATTGTATTTATTTATTATAACGATTATATAGCCTATTTGGAATGAATAGTCCTTATTGTTTGTAAAAAGATATTAGTAAAAATAACAATCTTAAATGAATCTAAGTCAAATGGTACATATTTGAATTCTCTAGCAAAATTTTCTTTTTGTTACTTGATATACTTGTTTAACACTATAATATCATTCTTGCTAGATTGGATCGTTTATACTATTATAAATAGATCGAAAGATACCTTGGGTTGATATATGATTGTAATATATATTCTGCAGGTGTCATGGTACGGGTAAAGACTTATATTGTACCATAAGGGTAGAAGAGCTATGGAAAAGTGAAGCCCTACTTATAGGAAATAGGGCATACTAGTATTCTATACCTGAAACACGAAGGCAACTACAGATCATATAGTTGACACTGTAACAGTACCCCTTGCTCAAAGCGATCGGTTTACAATCACAATATCAATTAACCTTTTAAAATACAAAATAATATTAAAATACTTTAATTTCTATTATTAAATTAAAATGAACTTTTTAGAAGTAATAATTAATTGATAGAGCTTTTTAAATCTACCTCAACCTCGATTCAGGGGTACACTTGATATAAATACTAGCAGGGGATTAGGAGTAATAGGTTTTTTGAAACTTACCCAAGTGAGTGGTTCTAACTTATCTGGATTTACTAAATGGAAAGCGATAATCGTATCTTCCTAACCACAAAGGTCTTCAGTAGATTATCAGAATACTGGGTAATGTTTCTATTTGATCTGGTAATGAAATCCGTCCTTATTATGATAGTTGAGTAATTTATCGAATTTCTATTGCTTGGTTTCTTTGTTTGTTTCGTTGTCTTTTTCTAGAATACATTCTTGATTCCAATAGGATTCAGTATTGTTAATTGTTTCTTGACTGGCTAATCCAGATAAGTAATAAAATAATCAGAATAATGAATTGTGAAATACTGAAAAAAATCTTGAAATTAATAGAAAACTGAAATAAATAGACTTGTTTGTAAACTTTGATGATCTTATAGAAATTATTCTATTTGTTATTATCTTTTTTCATTAATCGATTAATCTTTATATTTTTAGTATTAATCTATACTCTATTACTCTCTTTATATAGAGAAATATTGATATAAGTTTTATTAATGTAATCTTTATATTTCTGAATAGACTAAGCAGCTAAGGCTTTCAATTTTGTTAGAATAATATCAAATCGATTTGTGATCTTATTAGTTTTTAAGAACTCATACTTATATTGATATAACAAATTCAGAGGAATAGATAAGAAGGGTTTAATACTAAATATAAATGAAAATCGTAATTGGTGAAAAATGGGGATATACTAGTAATTTCCGAGGTTATATTATTGAGTACAAACTCTGTGAGTAGAAGTTAATTATATTAATTATTTTGATAAAAGTTTATAAAAGCTTGAAGGTATTGTTTTATTATAGTATTTATTCTCTTTATTTGTTTATCAAATTCAGAATAGAACGAGAAGAATTGTTTCAAAGTAATCGATAGATGTTCAGATAGATGTTTCCAAAATTCTGATATAAATTATAAACCTCTATTGAATATAATATTATTAAATAAGCTATATAAATAATAGACTTTTTCAATAAACCAATCAACAAGCTCCTTTGCAGAGAGTTCTATAATCAGAATAAAATAACATATTTTCATTAAGCAGCAAATAATTGTAATAATATGTTGATACTTCTTATTATAATATTCACTAATTGATAACGATGTGATATAATTAATAGAGATATCGAACCAGGAGCAAAATGGTATAGGCAGAGGTTTTAGGAATCTGAGTATAATAAGGTAGAAGGCTTTGGTTTGGAAATAGAGTTGATAGGCTTGTATATAAGTTTCGATTTCTCTCGATATATTGGATTACTAATATATGCAAGAGACAAGATTAATAGTCTTAATTCGGCCAGGGTATCCGGCAGATTCAGTAGAGTGTATTCGATATATAATCTGGATATAGAGTTCAATAGAGGAAAGGATGAAAAAGCAATTATGATAGAAGATTTTACTATTAATCAATCTATAATCTTAAAAGGCAATTCAAAGGTCTTTTCGAATAGATAATAATTAATAGTGAATAGCTAAATTCCAAAGGGTTTTATATATAATAGTAATCAATTCAGATAGTTTGTATACTATATCAATAAGATCATCAATCGGCTTCTCAATATCGGGAATGATTATATCCATGAGGATTACAATAAGGTCGATATCATTATTAACTTGTTGAATAAGATCTTTAAATACAACATTATCGAATACTTTTTCTGGAAAAACTGTTTATAAGCGATTTTTGATTTAATTGTTATTAGAATCGGTATAAGCAGAATGGTTTTTTGTCTTTCGGCTCAGTGTATCAGGGTGAACTATCTTATAGCTAGAATGGTATATAATACGAAAATTAAAGTTAGATAGGAATTCAGTCTATTTAGCTTATCTTTGATTCAGTATTTTTATTAATATAAAGTACTCTAGATTCTTATAATCAATAATGATTTCGAATAACTTTTGGATTCTATATAATTCGGATCTCCATTTTTCTAAAGACTTAATAATAGTTAGTAATTCCTTATTATAAATCTTATAATTACATTTAACTACACTATATTTCGAGGAGAAATATATAATCGAATATAATCGGCCCTTATCATTATATTAAAAGAATATTCTATCCACAGTCTAGTCTAAAATATTTATTTCAATAACTATACAATAATAATAATCAAACATTACAAGAACTGAAACAGAAATAAAGATATACTTCAGATTTTCAAAGATATTTTTTTAATCAATAATTCAATTCTATATATTCTTTTTTTTCAATAAATAATTTAAAGATTCCATGATTTTAGAAAAGTTGTAAATAAAATATTAATAAAAGTTGGCAAACTTTAAAAAGCATTAGAAATCTTTTAGCTTAATTAATAACTTTTATTTGAGGATAATCTTAACCTTATCAAAATTTATCTCAATATTATTAAAAATAATAATCAGATCGAGATACTTTGTTCTCCTTATTTCGAACTTGTATTTATTAATATCAATTTGTAATTTAGTATTAATAAATCTCTAAACAACTTTGCGAACTTGCTTTCAATAATCTATAATATTTTCAAAGTAAATCAAGATATCATTTAGATATACTATATAATTCTTATCTAGAAGATCAAAAAGAATATGATTGATATAGTTCTGAAATGAGACAAAAGTATTATAAAGGCTGAAAGATATTATTAAGGATTCGAATAAGCCGAAACGAGTTATAAAAGTAATCTTCCATTTGTGATCTTTCGTGATCTGTAATTTATTGAATATAGTGATGATATTCAATTTGATATAAACTTTAATATAGTATAAAATATTAAGAGTTTTTTTGATTAATAATAGTAGATAATGATTCTTAATAGTAACATTGTTTAGTTTATAATAATCCTGGTAAATTCGAATACCCCTTCTGGGTTTTACAGTTAGAAGGAATGGGATGGCCGATCGAAAACAGGATTTGTGAATAAATCTTTTATTTAAATTATCATCGAGTTATTTGTAAATGACTTAGAGTTTGATTGGGGATATTGGATAATCTTTGTTGTATAGAGACTCTTTGTTTAACATAATCTCGATTTTGTAATTCCAAAAGTATTATAATAGGAGCTTGTTGATAAGGGAGAATAAGAATTTAGTAAACAGATTATAAAGCCAAAGTAATAATTTGCTTTGAATCTTTATTATAGATAGTATAGATTGATTAGTCTTTTTTATAAACTTCTTAATGTTGTTTTTTGTAATATTATAATATAATTGAATAAAATCGTTTGTTATTATATAGTATAACTCACAAGCTCTATCTAATTCATTTCAGGTTACTTTTGTAATATAAACTTTCTGATCTTTATAGAATTGAATAAAGCTATTAGTTGTAAGGAACTTTATATTATTCATTTTCTATTGGATATTTTGTAAGGTATTAGTTGATTCCCTTAAAAGACTTTTATAGTGATAGGGGGTTTAATAGGGATAAAACGTTTTGGTTTTGTAGTGGTCTTTTATATATCCTAAAGTCTGTAATGATTTGCATTGGAGTTGGTTTCAGGATTAGCTGGTTTGGTATTATCTTGGTATGGGTTTCTGT